CTGGGGAACTCTGGGAGTTGAAGTCCACATGTCTTAAAGTTGCCAAGGTTGAGAAACACTGCTGTAAGAAATACACTAGTGATGTTAACTTATGATCAACCAACTGAATGTTTAAATAGATGACTCTTTAAAAAGAAAAAAATGCTTATGCTTATGGAAATTTAGACTCAAAGTATAAAAAATTGTTGCTGAATTGGTCCATAGAGAATGAGTTAGATAAGTTAAGATTAATGCCACAATGATTGTCAGTGTGCGTTCCCTGTGGAACACTCAATATTGCTTTATGTTAGATCATAAATTTGGCTAGAATAATGGAGAGTCCTACTTCATTTGGCAGGAAATATATTTAAAGTATTGCAAGTATATACATATTAGATATAAATACCTAATGCTTATATGTTATATGGTAAATATTGTGAACACTGCTTATTTAGTATTGAAAAATATTAGCAGCATGTGCTTTTTATTCCAGTTTTAAAATGAATCATTCTGTGACGAAAATTTTCCACAGCGATTCTAAAAATATGAAGGACTATAGACTACTTGCCCATTTATTGTACCAGATTCAGACAGGGCGTTTATTATAACTTGCTTTATTCACATAATTTTAATGTGGTGGCAGTGACCCGGCCAATATTTCCGTCTATAACCAACAGTTGTTTTCCTATTACTTTTTTTCCCATCAGTGTCCCTTCCAGAAATATCTGTTAAGAGAGGAAAGATAGAATTATGTTTTTGGAAAGCTAGGAGCCATCCATTAAAAAACAAACAAACAAACACCTTTCGGTGAAAATTAATTGGGAATGAAAGCTAATGACTAAACTCTCTTTTTGAACAATAACAACCAAAAATGTTTGTAGCCAAGAGGTATAACTTTATTGCAATTCTTTGGGTTTTCCACAGGAGGGAGGATCTGCAATTCTTTTAGAGAATTTTCAGAAATTATTAGAGGAAGTTGTAATAAAAATAACCTTTCCAACATTTAAATGGAAATTTATGCCTGCTAACATCTATATAACTTAGAATGACTAAGGTGGATTTTTTTTTTTTTTTTCAGTTTGTATATATGAAGATTTATTTTTGTTAATAGACCCAAAAGAATGTGTTCTTAATTTTGATGCAATGCAATGCGATGCAGTACGACACAATACAATACACAATACTACTAAACATAAAGCATAGCAGTAAAATGAAGAGGAAAGCCTCCCTTAGCAATTTTCATACATATAATGAAGTGTCCTATTTACAGAATTAAAACAATCCTTTATGCACATACACACACACACACATGTGAATCCCATTTTTATCAATATCCCCAAGTTCATGTGCATGGGAGCAACCTCAGAAGTTCCAGAGCACCTAGTCAGAGTCTGCAAAGTGGCACCCACAGGTACCATCCTACCTATTGATAAAGCTTCTTAAAAAAGAAAAGTAAAGAAGACCTTGCTACTATTTACCTTCTTTTCAAAGTTGAAAAAAAAAAAGAGGTTGACTTGTACTTTGTAATGCTGTTGTTCTAATTGTGTATGTGGGTTTTAACTGTTTTAACTGTTTTACCGTTTTTTGGATTTTGTAAGCCACCCAGAGTCTTCTGGAGTGGGTAGCCATACCAAATCAAATAGATTAAATTGCATTACATTGAATTAAGAGTTTATTGGAGAGCCCTGAAGCACTTTGCAGGGATTCTGATGAGCTGGGTGAATAAGTTGTAAACACAATCTTAAGTAGAGAAGCTCTATAACTGGGTTTGGGTAGATGTGGAATAGTAATGGCTGTGAATGTATGTGATCGATGAATAGGATGCATGATTGAAGGGGTGAAGTAGGTGGCATCTAGAGGGAGTGATAGTGGAAACCCTGAAAGAACAATCTTTTGTCTTTTTCTGTTGGGATAGAAATAGTACATGTTTATATGCATAAAACAACTAAAGTTACAAATATATATCATTTGCTATTTGGTAGAAAACCTGAATAAATACTGTTTTTCTAAAAAATAGAAATCCTTTTCCTTTGCTTCTTAAATTGTACAAATAATATAAACCAATGTTTCTTAAACTCTTTAAGAATACATAAAACAAGACATTTTAAATAAGAAACATGTTTTTTAAAATAGTCTTTATTTACCTTACTTTTAATACATTAAAAGTAAACTTAATGGCATAGTCAGTTGAAGTATATTTCATCAGTGTTTGAAAAGAAATTTGTTAGCGAAAATTGTCTTAACAATCAGCTTGGAGTGAGTGCTGAAAATCCATTTTCAAAAAGTTATGGTGAGGAAAATGTAGTAAGACCATAAATGCTTTTTCAATTAAAATGTCATATTTTCTGTAAACTATCATCCAGAAGTTTTCTAATGATTTTAGAAATTATTTCAATATGACATTTGTCAATATCTCTTCATTTATTCATGGATAAGGGATTTATCTGGCTAGTGAAATTGAATGGATACAGAATTATATATTTTCTGTCGCACTATTAATGATCTCAAAGAAGACCTTCACATTGTTCTGGGAACATTTCTGGTCCCTCATCGTTCTAGAATCACTGACATAGGCAGTGAATGGGCAGGCAGTGAGTCTGGAAGTGTTACACAATTAAAATACACCATATCTCATTCATAAAAAGGTTCTTATACCTACTTAATGATCCCTTCAAGTTGGAAAAGGAAAAAAAAAAAAAAGTAATGCAACTCAGGTATTCCCTTCAGTATATAATGTCCCGATGTCCAAATAAGTATCCAGAGATTGCATACTTGGATATGGAAAGAACTGATTGCAAGATCATGGCCTTATATTTCTGAGGCATGAAACATTTTTGCTACCAGGAGTGGTCTCAAATCCATGTCAGTTGGCTGTCTGTTAAATACTTTAGTGCAGTAGTTTGGTTCAAGCACATTTCAGTGGTTTTCTAGTAAACTTAATAAGTAAAAATATTTCCATTCAAAAAGAACTACGCAGAGTATGTCCTTATCC